GGGCGGAAGCCTCACCCGCTTCATGAATTGTGCGATTGAGAAAGGGCGTTTCCAGAAGGGCGCTGAATATTTTCCTGCAGTGAAGCGAATGTCGTGGCATTGTCAGGGGCGTATTCTTTCAAACTGCGCAGTGCGCGCTGCCATGTATGGTTCGTAATGCGAAATGAAGTCCGCCAGCTGCTACCCCATCCAAGCAAACAGACAGAGGGCGGGGCAATGGCGAGCACGGATGGCAGGGCATTCAGATCAGCAAGACTGAGGCTGTTCGGCGGCAGCCTGAGCAGCTTGTGCAAGATCTGATGCTCGTGTTTACGAATCATAGCAGAAAAGTGACAATTGGGCGAGGTACGAGAGTGTCGAGAGAGCGGTCGTGTTGTGAAGAATTGAAAGAACAGGCGGGCCAGCTCCAGAGCATGGCAGAGCTATCGTCGTCGACCACCACTTCCCTGCTGCACTAGCCCAGATCATGCTAAGTGTGGCTGCAGGGCCCATTTCGACCCCTATGTAGACTGTATGGCCAGCGATCTTGAAGTTGGCCCACTGCGGGATCCACCTACAACGGAGCTCTTTTCGGACCCTGTCCTGGACGGCTTTCGTGCACTCAGTCCACAGTGTGACCAAGACGCACTTGGTCCCTTGGAGCCTGAGACAGGCAAAACGCTCAGCGTCCAGGACAACAACACGGGAGACGCCAATCAGGTCTCGAAGGCGAGGCATCACCATTCCGACGTCGTCAGCGCAACCCCCAGGAGAGCCCTTGTTGCGCCTCGACTGCGGGAGCTGTGTGGCCGCGCGCAGACATCTCAGGATGGGGTCCATTGCAAGAGCCCAGGGACAACCAGATAAAGGGCATCCTTGCAGGACCCCCGAGCAGAGATGAAACAGGACATCGGTTCGATTTTGCATCTTAGCGAAGCCTCGGGGAAGAAAGTCTAAGGCGTGGAAAAAATCAGGAAACCAGGCGGGGGCCCAATCCGACTCAGAATCTCGAACAACCGCTGGCGGCCCAGAGGAGGGAACGCCGCCTCCACATCGTAGGCAGCGAAGATCGGGAGGTCCTCCTCAGCTTCGGGGGAGATGCTGGCCTTGCGGGCCTCGGCTTCCGACGTGATGATGTTGGCCAAGAAATTATGTCCTGGGCTGAATCCTTGCTGAGCCTCGTGGGTGCGCTCATGGGCAAACTGGCGAATCTGAAAGTTGGTGGCGGATGTCATAATCTTAGCGTCTGTATTCCTGAGGCTAAGCGGCCGAACCTTCCATGGGGGCCGCGCGCACCCCCAGGCATCTTCGGGCTCCGAACCTTTTGGGGGGAAACGAAGAGGCTACCGTTGAGCTCCAGGGGCACCCGGTGTTCGCTGCACACATATGTCATATGTTTATGCAAGACAATAAGTTGTTCAGGTCTAGCTTTCCATGCAGTGCATGAGAGCTGATCAGGGCCAGGGGCTGACCGTCGGGCAAATTTGAGGGCCCGTCCTAGTTCGGGTTCAGTTGGAAGCCTAAGAGGTAGGAGGCTTTGCTGAGGGGCAACCCTGTCGAGATAATCCTGAAGGGTCTTCTCCTGAACTACTCTGGCGCCGAAGCTGGGATTCCAATGGGAGGTCCGTGCGGAAGAAATCTGCTCAGGATCGCTGGGGGCTCTCGCAAGCTTTCGGGCCGGGCCCCTGCGAGAACGAGACGATGGGCTGCCGGGGCCCAGAGAGTAGCGCGCCTCTTGCGCACCCTCGCGGCCCGTCTCTCATCCTCGATCGCCGCCCCCCCCCCCCCCCCTTTGGGCGCCCTGCTTTCGACAATTCTGGCATCCATCTGCCCGGGCTCGTAGTTGGCGGCATGCGTGATGAGGGCGAACTCCTGCCCGTCGAGAAGCTCGACGGCGCCGTTGGACACGTGAAGGAAGCGCGCGCCATCGGCGGCGGTGGCCTTCGGCTTCGCGGCGGCGTGGATGTCGCTGCGCCAGATGCATCTTGCCATTGCCCTCAGAATAATGATACGACCTCCCTTGGCACGGGAGTCCTTCGCCGAAATCGGAAGCCGCTGAAGTTCGTCGCGGGCCTGACGAGCGACCTCCGTCATGAAGTGTTTCTTGCAACGCCATTGGCACACAACTGGGAACCGGTCAAGTTGAGGCGCATTGAGAACTTGTCCCAGTATCTCTCCGTAGCGTGGGTCTCGAAAAACTTGCTCAGGAATGCTGTCCTGTTGGTCGTGTCGAGCGCGGTCGCGAAGGTGAAGAACGATCGGCGAGTGGTCGCTGAGCCTGGAGTCAGAGATGGCGGCCGCGTCAATGTTAACCTCCGCTAAGACTTCGACATCTAGGAGAAAGTGTGCTGGAGTTCCAACAAGGACACGATCCAGTGTGGCAGCGGTAGCCGTGTCTCTGCAACCGCGCGCGGGGCGCCACGTCGAAATTGCAGTGAGCATTGAGAAAAGACTTTCCAAGTCTGCTTGCAAGGGTTGGGATCCGCGGCTACGTTCAGCAGGAACAGAGCCAGGGGCAAAACCTCCCGACACGGGTTCAACGTAGCTGCGAGTCGGCCCCGACTTGATGCTGAAGTCACCAGCAGCCAGAAATGCTCCCGTAGCGGGGCCTTGAAGGTTCCAATCGACAAGCTCCCTCCATTTTGCCCGTGCCTTGTCCTGCGCTCGGTTATCCAGCTCGACGTTATGAACGTTCATGATGTCCATGGTGAAACTGTCCTTGTCGTTAGCGATACTGGGAAGAGCGGCCCTGCCAGGGGCTGGAATCTGATGTTGAAATCGAACGCGTGGGTCATCTTGGCCCCTGATGCCCATTGGAACCAAGAATGCAGTGCCATCAGCCTTCTCTGAGAGAGGGTTGCAAAAGATCTCGTGCGGGCACGGGTAGGTCGCTAGTGCTGCGGCCAGCCTGTCCAGCGATGCCCTGCACCCTTGAATTAGAATCACCGCTCTCTCTCTCTCTCTCTCTCTCTCTCTCTCTCTCTCTCTCTCTCTCTCTCTCTCTCTCTCGCATGAAGGAGGCAAGCACGTTGAGATTGGCTTTGCGACGATGAGGCTTGCAACAGAGAAAGCTTCTGGCATTCCAAAAGATGATCGTGCCATTGCGCCGCCCCAAAACAAAAGTCCACGGTGGCCAGCGCCGGCTAAATAGACCACGTAGACGTAGCCACGCTAGCGAACGCCTGTCCAAATGCAGCCACCCATGGTTGCTTGACTATCTTAAAGCGGGCGAGGATGGGCATCTCCCAACGTAATTTGGACGGTCCATCTGGTCCTTGGCTTCGACGACCACGAGCGGCACTGCGTCAAAAGTGTTGATGCCCTTGGCCCGCTGCGCTCCGACGTTGTGATCTGAGAAGGCGTCCTGTATGATGCGCTGGAGACGTTTCGTTTGCAGCCCCAGCCTGATACGCTTAGCGTTCTTATCGGCGCTGACGCGTGCAGGAGTGTTGGCACCTCCCGTGTCAAAGCCGGTGAATGTGCGGAAGCCAGCTGATGTCATGAGTGATCGAGAGAGTGCGAGAGCTCGAGCACGGGCAGCTGCGCCTCCTTGAACTTGTAAGTGAAGCCGTCGCTTAGGCACGTCACCGTGAAGAATGAGTTGATCAACAAGAACCCCAGAAGCATGTATCCATTCAGCCAATACCGTTTTTCTAGCCGCTGGTGCCATTGCTCCCGGGGCTCAGGTACTGAACGCTGTAGGATCTGGGACCCGGCCCCATGTCGCAAGCTTCTGAACGTCAAAGGGGGCTGCCGCTTCTGCCATAGCCAAAGTTTGTTCCATTGCCTGAATTTGTTCCCGCATTCGCTGTTGAGATGTTTCCACGCTGTCTGCTCGTGATTGTAGTTCATGGATACTTTTGTCCTGCACCTCGAGGTGTGCCGCACTCTGCCAGTTGGCTGCCAGGAGCTTGTGCACCTGTGCGTCGAAGAGCTGCTGTTGCTGCGCAGTGACAGAATTAGCCGTTGGCCGTTGCCGTGAGTTGAGCCATCGCCGTCGCAATTTGCTCCTTACGCAGTGCCGCCAGCCTCTGTTCCAGTTGGGCCAGGTCGCCAATGAGAGGAGGAGCGTCGTGATCACAAGGAGCTGGTCAGCCACCAATTGGCGTGCCAGCAGCTGGAAGCTCACCTGCAGGAGACGTGGGAAACATCTCCAACTCTTCTGCCGCTTGACGTTTGGCACGAGGCGAGAGCAGAACGTGCTCAGGTCCGTGAGGCCGAACAGGTCCACCGCTAAACCCTGCGTGTAGATGTTGGCCAGCTGCTGCAGCTTTCCAGGGGTCTCGTTCAGCCAAAGCGTCCGAACGTGGAGCCGATGGGCCTGATGTTCTCGGTGGCGCACGGTCTGCCTCCCGCTGTCCTTCATGTCCACGCTCACGTTCTCTGTTATCGTCCCGTCCCTCGCTGTCTCGTCGGCCGCGGTGTCGTCGATGTCGTGCACGAGTGGATCCACTGCGGTCGCCACCGCTTCTGCTCTTGGAGTGACAATTGTCCTGCCGTCTGGATCACGGGGATGAGGATTCGATCTTCGAGCGTCGCCGGAGGAAGTCGGAGGAAAGCGGGCTGCTGCTGGAGGCAGGCATTGTGTCTGAACGACTGGGTGGCTGATGTGCCTGATGCCAGTGGTGAAAACCGATTCGAAACCAGCGCGTCTTGAATGCAGTGGAGCACTCGGACGGACGTGTAGTAGTGGCGCCAACGCCTGGACCGTCAGCTGCCTGAGGGCGAACAGGACGGTCAATATATGGATGCCAGCAGCGAGGCGCGCCCGGCTGGTCTTAGGATATGGAGAGTCTGTGGCTGCGCAGGATTTCAGTATGGAAAGCGTCGGGCTGGCGCGGGGCCCCTGGAGTGGCGCCAAAAACTTGGAGTCTGTCCTCGGCCCAAAGGTCTCCATGCGGCCGCACGGCGACATGGTGACTTGAGCCAAAATGGCTACGGACGTAGGAGGAGGAGGACGAGGAGGAGGAGGAGGAGGAGGAGGAGGAGAGAAGCGGGGCCGGAGGAGGGGGATGAGGAGCCTGCGCCAAAAGGACACGCCTGGCTGCTGCGCGGAACACTCCGGCTCAAAACCTGTGCCACGGGCATCGCGCGGAGCTTTATAAGCGAACGTCTTCTCCGTCTCGTCTTTCTCTTCCTCCTCCTTCCGCCGCCGCGCCTCCTCTCCTCCTCCTTATCCTCCTCCCCTCCCTCCTCCTCCTCCTCTCCTCCTCCTCCTTTCCTCCTCCTTCTCCTTCTCTCCTCCTACTACTACTACTACTACTACTACCACTACTACTACGACTACTACTACTACTACTACTTTACTACTATACTACTACTAATACTACTACTACTACTACTACTATACAACTACTACTACTACTTAATACATTACTACTACTTACTATACTACGACTACTACAACTACGACTAACGACTACTACTACTACTACTACTACTACTACTACTACTACCACTACTACTACTACTACTACTACTACTACTACTACTACTACTACTACTACTACTACTACTACTACTACTACTACGACTACTACTACTACTATACTACTACTACTGCTACGCTACTACTACTACTACTACTACTACGACTACTACTACTACTACTACTACTACTACTACTACTACTACTCCGACTACGACTACTACTACGACTACTTATACTACTACTACTACTACTACTACTACTACTACTACTACTACTACTACTACTACTACCACTACTACTACTGCCTACTACTACTACTACTACTACTACTACTACTACTACTACTACTACTACTACTACTACTACTACTACTACTACGACTACTACTACTACTACTACTACGAACTACTACTACTACTACTACTACTACTACTACTACTACTACTACTACTACTACTACTACTACTACTACTACTACTACTACTACTACTACTACTACTACTACTACTACTACGTACCTACTACTACTACTACTACTTACTACTACTACTACTACTACTATTACACTACTACTACTACTGCTGCTGCGCTACTACAACTACTACTAACCTAGTACTACTACTACTACTACTACTACTACTACTACTACTACTACTACTACTACTACTACTACTACTACTACTACTACTACTACTACTACGACTACTACTACTACTACTACTACGACTACTACTACTACTACTACTACTACTACTACTATACTACTATGCTACTACTACTACTACTACTACTACTACTACTACTACTACTACTACTACTACTACTACTACTACTACTACTACTACTTCTCCTCCTAGGCACTCTGCTATTCTGCGCACGGTTCTCCGCCTTCGGGGCGGAACGCGAAGCGGGGGCCTCCCAGCTTCGCAAAGAGATGTGTCAGGCACTCTTTCCTCCATGTGCGCGCGTCTGCGAGTGCATGCGTAAAGCCAAACAACACGTGTACGATTGTGTCTTCTCGCTGGACCTGCTGTGCTTGGATGCGGTTGGACGGCTGGGGCCTGCATGGAAGGCTGGCAAGCTTTGAGGTGCCCTGCGTTTGAGAATTGAGGCACAGCTCGCGACAATCTTGGACCTCTTGCCATCCAACTACGAACTCCTCTTGCATCTCACACCGTGCCTGGATGTGCCTCCCCGTCATCCTTGGTTGTGCGCGCAGATTGGGACTTGGATCCTCCTTGGCTGGGGTTGGTCCCAATCGGTCTGAATTGGACTGAATTGGCCACAGAGAAAGAACAACAACTAGAGAGAGAGAGAGAGAGCGAGAGCGAGAGAGAGAGAGAGAGAAACACAAATAGAGAAGCCATGCACGTCAAAAGTTCATGCTGACATGTATCACGGATCCGTGGATCTGACGCGTGGGCGCCAGATCCACGGATCGGCGAAGGTGCCCCCCCCCCCCCCGAAACACGAGGCCAATGTGCCAAGGCCGCCTGATCTCCCCACGGAGCGCGCCGATTCTGTCGGCTGTCAGGACACGGGACCCGTCGCTGATTCACCCGCCTGGCGGTCAGGAGCCGTCGCTTCGCGTGTCGCAGCGGCGGCCGCGGCGACACGCCGTGCCCTGCAAGCGGATGGCTGATCGCTCCCCTCCGCGGGACGGGACGCTGGGAACGGCGGGGACACGGACGCCTGGGGATCGGGACGCGATCGGCGTGTCGCACTGGAGCGAGGTGGGCCAGGACCGGTGGCGCGACACGCCAAGCATACGCTCCTGACCGTAAAGTCCATGCTCGCGCTTCCTCGGACAATTGCCTCCGCCGTCCCCCTCCCGAGGGAGGAAGTTCGAGGAGGGGGAGGAGGAGCAGGAGCAGGAGCAGGGGCAGGAGGAGGAGGAGGAGGTGAAGGTTGGAGACACGAACGTTGCGAACCTTGATACTTACGTGAAGTATCTTGTAAAAGTCTGGCCACCGAAAAAAGGTTCGAGACAGTTCGAGGCGGAGGATGAGGAAGAGGTTCTCGGATGAGGATCAGGCTTGCGGAGGAGGGAGGATGAGGGGAAGGAGGCAGGAAGAGACAGTTCGAGAATGAGCCAAATCTCTCTCACGTTGCGTTTGTTGCTCGAGGCGAGGGCTCCCCCCAGAGGTCCAAACCCCCTTCCCTGGGACCAATTTCGAATCCCCAACTATGTTTTCATGCTCCAAGGGCCCGGTGAGGGCGCCCGGAGGCCGAAAACCGCCCGCCGTGATGCTGGAGGTAGAAGGCTGCCGAACACTGCCAAAACCGCCCCCGCGGCCAGCGGAGGGGGAGGATGATGTGGTTCGCGGGGGGCGAGGGCCCTCATGCTGCCCCCTCCCCATGGGGGTCGCCGCCCGCTTGGGGTTCGACTGCTGGAAGATGATCTTCTCGTCGCCCTCCGGGCTGGCCTCCGATGCTCTGGCGGCCGCTGCACTCTTGGCGGAGCCCGCCGCCTTCGTGGCGACCGGGAGGGCGCGAAGGGAGGGATGGCGAGGGGGTGGACGGATGGCGAGGTTAGGGGAACTATCAGTGACATTCCTAAGCGAAGAACTCGGAGATCCGCGCGGAGTTCTCGCATCAGCGCTGCACTCCCCTCCCTGGCCCGCCAGGAGCGCGCCAGGGGCCGCGCCGCAGGCGCCACCAGGTGGCTCCAGCGCCGATCCGAGAAGTCTGCGCGGACCTACGAGTTTGTATGTTTCTGCCATCGTGTGTTGAGGGGGCCCAGGGTCACACACAAACAAACACACACAATCCCAGGATCCCCCCGATTGTCCTGCCTTTTCTGGGTTTTCGTCTTCCCCCATATTCCCATCTTTTCTCATGTGTGTTTGTTCTTTCTCCTGGGAGTCGACGATTCGTTGTGTCTGTGTGTTTGTGTGTTGTTTTGTGCTTGTGTGTGTTTTTCCCCCTCCTCAATGTGTTCCCCAGAGGGGGAGGCAGGACGGTCCCTGCCTTCCCTCGCTGTGTGTACGAGTGACAACCGCGCGGGTTTCTCGGCCATCTTCGGCCCCCCTGGGGGGGTGGCCCTCACGGGCCCCCGGGACCGCAACCAAAAACGGCTCGGGATAGAGAGCTGGTCTTAGGTCGGGCATGTCCTCCTACAGGCAGGTTCTGGAAGACAAATGGAAACGAGTGCAACAACGCTCAAACATGAGCAACACATGAGAAATCGTCCCCAGACTATTCTTCGACATTTGTTTTTAACGTTCCTCCTGTAGTGTGGCATGCCCGACTTAAAGCTGGTTCCAGGGAAGGGATTCGGATCTCTGGGGCTCCACGATGTGAAGCAAAAACACGACGTCGGAGAGCTGGGGTGGAGGGAGGATGATGCGCGGGGGAGGGTGCGGGGGAAGGTGAGACAAGGACGCGAGGAGCGAGGACGACGCGGACACGAGAGACACGGGGACAAAAAAGATGGAGGGCAAATCGCAGGGAAAGGCGTAACACCAAGAGGGGGATGCCCATCTCTTCCTCTTCCTCGACGCGGAGCAGAAGCATGGTGGCTCTGAACCGAGCTGGCACCCCTGAACCGGCAACTTCTCCAATCGAGCCGGCCGATCCGCAACCCTAACGGAACTGGTCGAATCTGAACCAGTCGAATCGAACCAAACCATAAAACCAAACCCGGCTGCGACGGGCAAACCGAACCGGTTGGAACCGAAACCAGCCCAGGACCCGCAGGATCCCGCAGGACCCCGCTGGACCCCGCAGGACCCCCAGGACTCTCCGGGACCCCGTAGGACCCCGCAGGACCCCCCAGGACCCTCCAGGACCCTCGCAGGACCTCCCAGAAAACCACCAGGACCTCCAAGGACCTTGGAGGGCCCTGGAGGACCCCGGAGGACCCCGCATGACCCCCATGACCCCGTTGCCAACTTGCGGCAGTCACACACCTGTTTTGGCGGGCATGCTGTGCGACCCCCCTCGAAAGCCCTTGGGAGCCCAACGGGGCTGATGTGACCCCTGTGCTGGCCCGGTGACCCAACGGAGCTATGCGACAACGAGTTGGCAACGACCGCCGCTACAGTACAGAGCCCTTGCGGTGCGAACAAAATGGACGGCGGCATCGGCTACACGCAAGAGTTGTGACCTCTGGTTCGCGGAAGGCGGCCAGATCCAAGCCAGCGCGCAATCAGCCGCTGTCGCATCGCGCTTATCGCGCTTATCGATCTGGGGACCCTGATGAGCCCGCACCACATGTCACTCTGGCGAAGGGTCACTCTGACGTGTAGTCGACAAGAGGAGATGTCGAGGACACCAATTATCGTGTTGGAAGGAAGGAGTAGGGAGGGTGAAGGGTATGAGCAATATCATCGGGATGCAACGAACGACACCTTCGGCCGCCTACGGGCAAGGATGTCCTCATGTCTCCCAGCCCCAGGCTCCCAACCCGACAATTGTTTTCCTGAGATGTGGTGACGTCGGAGATCAGCGCTCCTCCTCCCTCCCAGTTCGCCGCTGCCGCGGACCCGTATCCCCGACGTCGTGATTTCTTCATGACGTGACCCCCAGGAGCCTGAACCCTTCCAGGGGACCGGTTTCTCATTCTGAATCGTTTTCTGCCGGTCCCAAGGCCTGGCGAAGGCCCCTAGAAGCTGAAGATAGCGAAATACCATTCGTCGTGATTTTTTCACAGCGCGAGGAGATCTGCGTTCCTCCTCCCTCTCGGTTCGCCGCTGCTGCGGAAGGGGCCTTCTTCGGCGCCGCCGCGCTGCCCACCTTGGCCTGCTTCGGCGGGGCCTCAGCGGCAGAGGCCGCCGCCGCGCGCTTGCCGCTGCCCACCTGGGGGGAGGGGGGATGCAATCGGACTCGGCTGGACAAGACACGCGAGAGGACACGAGAACCGTTCCCCAGACCTCCTCGCATTGTGAACGAATCACGACGGGAGGGTTTTTCGTTGTTTTCGGCCTCTGGGGACCCTCACCCGGCCCCAGGACCGTCAATTATCCCAATGCGACCCTACCTCGGAGTTGGAGCTCCTAGGAAAACAGCATTAGTAGTAACAGTAAAGCTAAGCTAAAGCTAAGCTGCACTAGATATTAGCGAAAGCTAAATCTAAAACTAAAGTTAACGCTAAGCTAGAACTAGGCTCAAGCTAAGCTAAGGCTAAGCCAAAGCTAAGCTAAAGCTAAGCTGAAGCTAAGCTGAAACTAAGCTAAAGCCAAGCTAAAGCTAAGCTAAAGCTAAGCTAAAGCTAAGCTAAAGCTACGCTAAAGCTAAGCTAAAGCTAAGCAGAAGCTAAGCAACAGCTAAGCTAAAGCAAAGCTACAGCTAAACTCAAGCTAAGTTAAAGCTAAGCTAAATCAAAACTAACGCTCAAGCTAAAGCTCAGCTAGAGCTAAGCTAAAGCTAGAGCTAAATCTAAAGCCAAGGCTAAGCTAAAGCTAAGCTAAAGCTAAGCGACAGCTAAGCGAAAACTAAGCTACATTAAAGCTAAAGCTAACGCTAAAGCTGAAGCTAAAGCTCCCCGGGGACTGGGGGAACCGCTCCCAGGGGACTGGGGGAACCGCCCGGGGCGGGTTGCACTGCCCGGCCCCTTTAAGCTACAGAGTAGAAACCCTTCTAGGCAGAGCCTAGGTAGGGAAAAACTGTCCTTTCCCGCGCTGGAACCTCCCAACCTGGTCTTCCGAGGTTGTGGACGAGGGTGCCGAGACGCGCTCCTGGGCTCGACAAGGTGTGCGGGTGCGAACGCGAAAGGCCTGGCCGCTGCTCTGGGGGGCGGGGGGGGGCGTGCTCGGTGGGGGGGGCGCAGCGCGGCTCAACAATGTTCTGTGTGCCAAACCTCGCAGGGCGGGCCTCTTCCCGCCCAAACCCCTACTTCGGTGAGGACCGTTGGCCCGCCCTGTCTCCGTTGCGGTCATCGTCGTCGTCGTCGGCGGCGGCATCGTGGTGCGTGTTGCTCTGCTCGGGACTAGTCTCCCTCATGCAGCGACCACCGCTGCCTCCTCCAGCGCTCCTCCTTCCCCTTGCCCCGCCGCCCCCGAAGGGGCAGCGCCGGCAGACATGCCGCGCTCGAAGGTCCGAACGGACTCGTCGGATCAGCGCTGGACCTACTCCCTGGCGCGCAAAGCGTGCGCGCCCAGGGCGGCGCCGGAGGCGCCCAGGGTCCAGCGCCGGCCAAAGGCATCCGCGCAGACCTCCCAAGATGCATGGATCGCGCTGGCCATGTGTCTTCTTCGAACATCACCCTCCGCGCCGTCCAGCGCGCGCCCGCTCGAGGTCGGGGCCCCCCCCCTGGGTCCATCCTGACCAGCTGGTCGATGCGGATCCGGCCGCGGCGACAGGAAGGCGCCAATGTCTCGACCAGGTGCACTCACATCCGTGCCTCCAGAGATCCGATGTCGCGCAAGAGTGCAACATAGAACAAAGTCCTCAACTGGAACCCTCGACCCCATCTTTCTGTGGCACTTCTCGAGCCAGGCAGATCCGCGAGGGTAAACTCACTTGTTGTGAAACATGCAACACCAACATCTAAGGCCCCCCTTTTTCTCCCCCTCCTCGGGGGGGAGGAGGGAAGCCTCCTTGATCTGAGGTGTCATCCTCCTCCTACTCCCGCCTTCAACCCGCTGATCGTCGTTCCGCTTGAACGCGACGTCGCCCGCATCGGTGGCCACAACAGGCCGGGTGGGCTGTGCAGCACCACCTGGTGCCGAGGCGGGCTGTGCAGCACCGCTGAACGCCTCACTCCGCCAACCTCGGGACATGAGCGTGGGCGGCTGTGTGGCAGGGCGTCCGGACTTGAACCGAAATGGTTACGGAAGGCACTGCTTCCGGGGGTTCGGTTTGGCCATCGAGGCTAGCTCGGCATCTGTCGCACATTGTTTTTGCTTTGCCCTTCCTTTGCTTTGCCTTTGTTTTTGCTTTGCTTTGCTTTGCGTTGCGTGTGCTTTGCTTTGCTGTCGCTGCTGTTGCTTTGCCTTTGCTTTGCTGCTATGCTATGCTCTGCTCTGCTCTGCTCTGCTATGCTATGCTGCGCTGCGCTGTGCTGTGCTGTGCTGCGCTGCGCTATGCTATGCTATGCTATGCTATGCTGCGCTATGCTGTGCTATGCTGGGCTACGCTATGATATGCTGTGCTGCGCTATGCTATGCTACGCTATGCTGTGCTATGCTGTGCTCTGCTATGCTACAGATCAGCGAAGCTAAGATGACGGTAAGTTAAGCTAAGATAAACCTGAGCTAAGATGAAGCTAAGCTGAGCTAAGACGAAATAAGCTAAGCTATGATGAGATAAGCAACGCTAAGCTAAGGGGACGTAGCTGGGGGAACCGCGGGGCGGATACTGGGGGAACCGCCCGGGGCGCTTTCCACTGCCCGGCCCCTTTAAGCCCAGAGAGTAAGAACCCTTCTAGGCAGAGCCTAGGTAGGGAAAAAACGACTTAGGCTCAAACACCCGTCCCCAGGAAGGGGTCCAGACCTTTGGGGGTCGACCCTTCCGAGGGCCACACGGGCGAAAATCATAAAAGCGGTCTTACGCGAGGTGGCGTAGCGACCTTAAGCGGCGGCTGATGCGGGCCGCTTCCAGCCTCGGGATACCCTCCAACGGATGCGCCTCGCCGAGAGCGTTTCCGGGCCCAAATCGTCCCGAGCGGCCGCCAGAGGCCCCATGGGATAGGCTCAGGGGGGGCAAGGGGCCGGGCATGGGGGAGTGAAGAGTGGGAGGGGGATGCGCGGACGGATGGGAAGGCAAGACAGACAGCATGAACTCGCAATTCCGAAACGAATGTCTGCTCAAATCGACGTCCGAGCTGACTCCTAGAAACTGTAGGATCCTGGCAGTCCTCGCACCGACCCCACTGGACTATCACTTAGAAGAAATCACGCCTGCATGAACATCTGCTCTCGGAGGTCCGCGTGGATTTCTTCGTCGGCGCTTGTTCACCCTCCTTGGCGTGTGGAGCGCGCCAGAGGCCGCACCAAAGGCGCCGCCAAGGAGGTCCAACACCGACCCAAGAAATCCGCGCGGACTTCCAACAACTTACGTCTATGCCGTCATTCGTCTCCCAAAGTAGGGTGTGGAAACTCCGCAGGAAGGAGGTGCGACGGTGATGGCGTGCTGGCAACCTATCCGACGTACCGTCATGCCGTCATGCGACGTGACACGTGGGCGCGCACTGGGGGGGCAACACAGCCCCGCCCTGGGACTCCCATCGCTGGCTGCAACTAGAAGAAGACACAACGCCATAAACATATTTTTTTGGCGGTCCTTGCGGATTTCTTGGACCTGCGCTGGACCCCCCCCCCCATCTGGCGTGCGGAGCGCGCCAGGGGCGGCTCCGGAGGCGCCGCCGGGGGGGGCCAAGGCGCGGATCCGAGAAATCCGCGCGGAGCGCCAAACCTGTATGTTTATGGCGTTGTTTCTTCTTCGAGCAATGGCTGCTGCCATCGACCAACTACTCGACCCGACGCGGAGGTGCTGCCGGCCCAGCCGACTCTCCGCACGAAGAAGGGCCCGCTTGGGGTGGGGGGCACCGCCGCGCCAGGGGCATCCTAGCGCGACCTGGGTCGGCCGCTCCGGCGGCCAACCCCGCCGCGCGAGCAAGCGCGAGAGCAGCCGACCCGTGCCTCTCCCGATCGCCAGGCCGCCCTCAGACGGCCTCGCGCTGTTCATTGCACCGACCTTGCAGACGTGCTGCAGCGGATTTTCGTGTGGATTTCAGTGCAGAAGCCGAAACGGCGAGCAAGAAAACGGAGTGAATTTCACGTGGATGTTTTGTAGTCTTCATTCCTGGCCAAAACAAATCCGCACGAAATTCACTTCGAAATCCGGAACGAAATTCTCCAGGGCAATCTGGGCCCATCCCATTGTTTTTCGAGCGAAATCCGCGCTGCGATGTTGGCGCCATGACACTGTGCAAGAGCTCGCGACTGGAGGTTTTTGGCCTCTTTCGGTCCCCGTGCACGGGCCCTCACTGGGCCCCGCGACCTTCAGAGCAACGGCCCAGGATGGAAAAGCCAGTCCCCCGGAAGGGGAAGGACTGCCTGCCGTGCCACCCCAACCCAACCCGATGACCCAAACTTCGGGTTTGGGGGAATCACAGGCAATCGGTATCAAAAGGATGCGCGGTAAGGATGCGCAAGGGCCTTGGAGGCCTGTGTGAACGTTTGTCGAACTGGTCAGCGAAAGTCGCCAAGGATGGGCCGAGGGGGCAAGGATGCAAGGGTATCCTTGGGAAGGTAGGCCATCCTCAACTGCGCGGGCCGACTGTACGGGCTCCGCGCATTTGTTTTGTCAAGGTTCCCCGACGCCCCCCCCCGGGACTGGAGGGCAGATTGAGGCCTTCGGGCTGGGTCGGGGGTGTCTTGGTGGGTGGTGGCGGGAAGGGCCCAGACCACCTCTGGGGGCCCACGCCGTGAAGGAGCTGCGAGGCGCCGCAGCTCTGGGCCTCTCACTCTCTCCGCCGAGGCCCTCTCCAAGAGGCCGGGCTGACGGCGACACGTTGCTTCACGGTGAGGCTGGGAACCAAATCGCAGGGAAGCATGAACCACAGCCTCTGCGGACGGATCGAGCGAAGACGCCACATTTCTCCCGTCGGCGGCGAGGCAGAGGCAGTCCGCTCCAGCGCGAGGCCAATCGGGGCCACCGACATGCGAGTTGTCCGGCGCGAGGACGACACGGCGAACTGAAGGACAGCGCGAGCCACGCGCTCTGCCGCACCGCCGAAACCCACACCGCCGTGACCTGCGTCGCCCTGCAGCCCGTCTGCGGCCCTCTCCTGGGCAGCTGGCGGCCAGGCCGCCCACGCAGCCCGCGGAAGCCCCCAAGCGTGGGGAGACGATCCCAGGCGGGAGACGACGGAAGGCCCAGCGCACGACGAGGGCCAGGGCGAGGAGAACATCCCAGACATGATCGCTTCGCGACATCAAATCAGAACGGGAGGTTTTTGGCCAATTTCGGCCCCGGGGGGCCCTCGCCGCGGGGCCGTCACACAACGACGCAAGATGAACACCCGGTCCCATGGGAAACGGCCGGGACTTCCGGGGACGCCGTCCTGCGCCCCCGTAAGTCCCGACCCTTTCCCTGGTATCGGGTGAGGATATACATTCAGAGCCCCGTAAACCTGGACACGCTAGACCAGGACATCCAACCTCCCTCACGTTTCCCAGGCGGCGGCACGAACAAAAACTGCAATGCAATGTTCCCGGAATTACCCCGGGCGCAGGCCCTAAAAGCCTGCAGAATCCCCCCCTCAACCCAGACCAAAACTCGAATCCTGCGGTGCAGCAAACGAAAACTGCACTGGACGACCAAGCCTGACTTTGCAAGAAAAGAAACGGTGTCGGTTCCCCGACTTGCCAACGTCCTGGTCAGTCTGTGTCCTGGTCTCTGGGCACCTGCTACATCGAGAATCTCTGAGATCCGGAGGCTCTGGAGGATGTCTCGGGCGCCGCGGCCTTCTCAGAGCGTGCAGGGATGCTCTGAGAGCGTTCTGGAACGCTTCGGACCGGATTTATCCTCGTCCTGGCCCCGCCCGACACAAGTTAGGTCGGGCATGTCCTCCGACAGGCGGATTCAGGGTGAAAAACAACGTAGTCAAAACAAAATATAAGCAACAAATGTCAGAACTGGTCGAAACATCGTCCCCAGACTGTTTTCTTCTACTTTGGAAAGTTCCTCCTGTTTAGGGTGGCAGGCCCGACTCAAGACAAGAGGCCCCCGGCCCCCCGCGACGAGTACTCCCGCAGAGCCGCCCGCCCGAGGCAACGCGCCCGTGGCAGTGTGGCGGCGCTCCGATGTGGCAGCGCGGCCGTGGCACGGGGGTCGGGGGCGCCGGCGGGGAGAGCCGGGATCTCAGTCAGCATCCGATCGGCAGGTCGGACCGGCACGGCACGGCACGGCACCGGGGGAGGAGGCGGAGGAGGAGGAGGCGGAGGCGGAGGAGGCGGAGGAGGAGGAGGAGGAGGAGGAGGAGGCGGGAGGATGCCAGCGCGCGCCCGAGGCAGGGACGGGGTGCCCGCGCCGCGCCCGCAGGCGTGAGCCGCGAGGTGCGGGCGTCCACCAGCCTGGCGTTAAGTCAGATCGGATGTGCATCGGATCGGGCTGCGTCGGCACGGGATCGGCATCGGATGGGATCGGCTGCGAAAGGGGTGCACGGACAGCACTATGCAAGCATCGGGTCGTCGGAATGTCGGAGTCGAATCGGATCGGGCCGGCCAGAATCGATGTCAGATGTAATCGATCGGATCGAAATGGACCTTGGCGAGAAGGTGATCTGCTGGGCGCTAGTGCAGTGGGGAGGGCCAGGCTGGAGGAAGAAGAACAACTGCATAAGCAGATACTTTCGGAGAGCCCCGCACGGATTTCTCGGGTCTGCACCGAAGCCACCTCCCTCGCCGAGCGCGCCGGGGGCGTCACTGTATGCGCCGCCAGGATACTTCCAGCCCAGGGCCCAGAAATCCATGCGGACCTCCGAAAGTTTAGGTTTATGCCGTTTCTTCTTGTTCTTCTTCGACGCGCGCGGCACCTGCTGGGATGGGCACGGGGGTTGCGAAGGGGATAGGGAGGTTATTAGTGCACGCCAAAGATATTACACCTGGCCTAACCTAGCTTTTAAGTGGGTTACCACGTGCCCCAAGTGGCTTAGGAGGATTAGGCAGCTCCGCTAAGTGGGGCGAGCCAACTTGGCCTGGATCCCTATCCCCCCAAAGCCACTCGGGGCATCAGGTAGGTTAGGCCAGGCTTGGTTAGGCCAGGTATACCCCCTGTGGCGTCCACTGATAGATAGCCCCCCTATCCCCTCAGCAACCCCCGCGCCCATCCCATTGGGCACCTCCCGGGGAGAGGCGCCGCCGGGGGGGGGGGGGGCCGACGCCACAGGCGGCGCTCGTGCTCGGCCAGCGGCCGGCCCAAGAAGAGGCGCGGGGGGGGGGGGGGCACTCGCGGCCGGGGAGCGGGCGGGGGGAGGCAGACCCCCGACGTCATGATGCTCGTGAAGGGCTTCAGGATTTCTGCCGTCCCTCGGCTCGCGCTGGAGCGGCCACGGGTTGCTCCGAAGTTCCCTGGAGATCTCAGGATTCTCTTGGATCTGCCCCCATGTACCTGGATTTGCCTAGATCTGTCGGAGCATACATTAATTCATCTGGCTCGATCCCCTCAAGTCGATTGCCCAAACTCGTCAAGCCTTCCAGGATATGCTTTCACAACATCGGCCCCCAGAGGTCTCGGCCCATTCCCCGGGACCGAGTTTTCCACTGGAGCCCGTTTCTGACGGTCCAGCGGCCAGGTAAGGGCCCCGCTGCTGGGATGGGCGCGGGGGTTGCTAAGGGAATGGGGGGCTATCAGTGGACGCCAAAGGGGTTATACCTGGCCTAACCTGGCATATAAACGGGTTAGACGTGCCCCAAGAGGCTTAGGAGGATTAGGGAATTCCGCGAAGTGGGCGGAGCCAACCTGGCTTGGATCGCGATCCCCCCAAAGCCATTTGGGGCTCTAGCATCCCACTAATAAGCTAGTTCGGGCCAGGTACAACCCCTTTGGCGTCCACTGATACGCCCCCCCGATTCCCTCAGCAACCCCCGCGTCCATCCCAGTGAGGCTGAAAGTAACGAAACACCTTCCGTCGTGAGTGCTTCCTGACTCGAGAGGGTGGTCTGGGAAGGGCGCGGCGTGGGGGGGGTCCTGCTCGCCCTTGTTGGAGTCCGGGGGCGGGGCGGCCGCAGGGGCCGCCAGCTCCGCCTCCGCCCTCGCGCCGTCGCCGTTGGAGGCGGAGAGCTGCGCAGACGCGGTCGCCGCGCCTGCCTGTGGGATTTTTTGTTCGCGTGCACCAGGCAACGATGAGACCCACGAGTTCGACGCAGCGTGCATCAGAGCAGCGCCTGGCCAGCTGTGGAGAATCCGAAGGAGGGGGTGAGGAGGGGGAGGGGGAGGGAGAGGAGGAGACGGAGGAGGAGGAGGAGGAGGAGGAGGAGAGGAGGAGGAGGAGAAGGAGAAGGAGGAAGAGGAGGAGGAGGAGGAAAAGGATGAGGGGAGGAAAAGGAGGAGGAGGAGGGGGATGAAAAGGAGGAGGAGGAGGAGGAGGCCGAGGAGGAGGAGGAGGAGCAGGAGGAGGAGGAGCAGGAGGAGGAGGAGAAGGAGGAGGAGGAGGAGGAGGAGGAGGAGGAGGAGGGCGGCGAGGACGAGGACGAGGAGGAGGAGGAGGATGGATGGACCATCATCAAAGAGACCCTGGCGGCCGTCTGCAAACAGACGACCGCCAGGGCCCCAGATGTCGATTGGTTCCCGCGCCGCCGCGAGCGCGCCACCCAGACGCCGTGGGGACGAGGGAAGGGCCCCGAAGAAGCGCAGACAAGCATCCGACCCAGCCTGGACTACCAGACGGCAGTCCAGGCGGCCAGAAACCACCGCCGGGGGAGATAAGGAACGCACCCGAGAGCGCGAGCCAAAACCCCGACGGCGCCACACCCCCAAAACACGCAGGGGGGACCGTCAGCCAGGATACCGAGGCGGAGCAGCGAGCGGCAGGCCCCCTCAGAAGTCCCCGACAATCCTCCCGATGACGCGGAAGAGGCTCACGCCCTCGACGCGGTAGCATTGCCGGAAAGGATCGGACGACATGAAGGCGTGGACCAGGTCGATGTCCACATCGTAGTGCTCGATTTGGCGCACCGCGTCCTCCATACTCGCGCCAACGTCGGGGAGCCCGACCTCCAACTCACCCTCCGCGCGACTGGGGTTGATCACCTCGAAGCGGTTCTTGAACAGCTTGTCGAGGAACTGCTCGGCGTCGAAGCTCGAGCAGGCGACGACCTCGTCCATCTGCGTGGTGGGATGGGCCTCGGACTCGTGCGGCAACGCTGCACCACCACCCTCAGAGGCATCCACGGCAGGGGGGGGGGACCCTGCGCGCAGGAAGCTTGACAGCAGGCGCCAACACTTCCACGAGGTCGTCCACGTTGCACGTGCCACCACGAAACTGATGAGCGCCAGCACATGGAAAGAAAGGCAGAGCCTCGCAGCACAGCGCTGCGGGACGAGAGGGGGCCGACGGCGCCGCCGGCATCTCAACGTCCGAGTGGCGCTGCAGCCCGCCGACCTCCGCGTGGTACGGCACCTCGGAAGCAGGTGTCGCCGAGGGGACGCCTGCGCCCAGTCGTGGGCCCGCCTGGGCTGCGACCCATGCTTCGCGCGGAGCACCAGCACTCGGGCAAGCCGCTGCATGCCATGCAGCGTTCCGGCGTAGACGACGGGCACTAGAAAGACGATCGCCAGCCACAAGGGAGCGAAGGGCAGGCCGAGCAATGGCTTCGCGACGGGCGACCTCGTCAGCAGGGCCATGCTGAAGAGATCGCGGCCTGTCCACCTTGCGGAACACGTCGATCTGGCCAAGGAGCTTCTTCACCGGGCTGTCTGCGGCGACCCGCGCTGCCGCTGCGCCTCGAAGAGGCGGCTCCCGTAGCATCATGCCCAAGCCCCTGCAGCGCCACACTCCGGAACAGCCATGCGCGGCGGAACTGGCGACCAGGGGGCTTGAGGCTGGCTTGAGCCAAATGGCTTGAGCCAAAATTGCTACGGAGGAGGAGGAGGAGGAGGAGGAGACAAGGAACAATCCATGGGCGCGCGCAGCTCGTGCGTGCGTCGGCGCTCCCAGGCTGCATGCGACAGCGCTCGCAGACTCCGCGCCTGCCTGTGGGAGGTTGGTCTGGCCGGACTCCCGCTCCATGTACGCCTCCGGGCCGCCCCGCGCCCTCGCGTCCCAGAGGGCCGGCGTCCCGACAAGATCGAGGCATCTTGCCGAGACCGAGGCATCTCGTCAAGACCGAGGTCCCCCCCTCTTGGGCGCCCCCCCCCCTCGGTCTCGACAAGATCGAGGCCGAGGGTGGCGTCCAAAAGGAAGGTTTGCAAATCCGCCGGCCCCCTTTGTGGGGCCACCAGGCTGTGGGCCGAAGCTTGCTGCTCCCTGCGCCACTTGCAGTTTCGAGTCTCCAATGTTACAGTCCTGCTTTCTGCTTCCTACTGTAATTTGTTGAACTCCGCGCGAGGGGGGGGCGCCCCAAACCGCCCGGCTACCACCCTCGGATCGCGTTGCCTGAATTCCCGGGGGGGCGCGGGACACTTAAAAATACATGATCGACCCACGAACCTGGAAAGGAATCTAGAAATGTAAGGCATCAACGTTTCAAAGACACCTGATTGGGCGACGGGCAAACGAAATGCTGAGTGTATCGATCTTGATGTGCCGTGCCGAGGGCTGTGCTGTGCTGCGCCGTGCTGAACTGCGATGTGCCATGCCGCGATTGTGCTCTATAGCGTTGTGGATCGAGTTCTCCTCTGCATCTGAGTCCTGACCGAACTGATCTGGATCTTAAGCTCGAGCTGCCTGAGCACATTGTAGCTGCCCCAGAGCTAATTGACAGGGGGGCATGCTATGAGGATGCGCCGCGGAACGTCCAAAGGAACATGCCAGGCGACGTGCCAGGGGACGTGCCATGGGGACGCACCGCGGGACCTGCCAAGGGGACGCGCTACGGAACGTGCCAATGGACGTGCCACGGGACGTGCCAGAGGACGCGCCGCGCGACGTGCCAGGGGGATTCGCCACGGGTCTCGCCACGGAACGTGCCAAGGAACGTGCCAAGTTACAATGCTGAATGTATCGATCTTGATGTACCGTGCCGAGGGCTGTGCTGTGCTGCGCCGTGCTGAACTGCGATGTGCCATGCCGCGAGTGTGCTCTATAGTGTTGAGGATCGAGTACTCCTCTGCATCTGAGTCCTGACCGAACTGATCTGGATCTTAAGCTCGAGCTGCCTGAGCACTTTGTAGCTGCCCCAGAGCTAATTGACAGGGGAGGACGCGCCGCGGAACGTCCCAAGGGACGCGCCAGGCGACGTGCCAGGGGACGTGCCACGGGGACGCACCGCGGGACCTGCCAAGGGGACGCGCTACGGAACGTGTCAATGGACGTGCCACCTCATGCTAGACAACCGCCTGGGCGAACTGGATACGTGAAAACAAATGGCTCCCTCGAGACATCCTCAACACGTCTTCATGTTAGACGTCCATTCCAGGCCCCCCGGAAGGCCCCAGGAGGCCCATGTTAGATACCCCCTAGGTGGCCTGGACAGGTTAAAGCACCTGGCTGCGCCATGTTAGATACCCCCCTGGGCGGCCTGGACACGCAAAACACGTGGTTCCAATTCGGGACTATCATGTTAAATGCCCCCCTGGGTGGCCAGGACACGTAAAAACACATGGTCCAGCTCGGGACAGCCATGTTAGATACACCCCTGGGTGGCCTGGACACGTTCAAACACTGGTCCTTTCTCGGGGCAATCATGTTAGATACCGCCTTCTGGGTGGCCTGGACATGTACAAACACGTGTTTCAAGCTCGGGGCAACCATGTTAGATACCCCCCTGGGTGGCCTGGACATGCAAAAAAACGTGGTGCCAGCTCGGGACAACAATGTTAGATACCCCCCTGGGTGGCCTGGACACGTGAAACCATGTGGTTCCAGCTCGGGGCAACCATGTTAGATATCTCCCCTGGGTGGCGTGAACATGTAAAAACACGTTGTTCCAGCTTGGGACATCCATGTATACCCCCCCCGTGGCCTGGATACGCTGAAGTCGCGCTCCCGCTCGAGATATCCTCGCGCTGTCTTCCCTGGAGAGGTCCCCAAAGCGCCACCCCCTGTACAGAGCAAAAACACATAACTTTTCTGTATTAGGATATGTGTTCGGGTAGCGCTTTTCGGCTTCCCGTGCGTTTTCTGATAATTCGGCGTTGGGCCCGATGCCATGTTGGATATCCCCCCTGGGCGGCCTGGACACGTCAAAAACATGGTGCCAGTTCGGGGCAATCATGTGTGATAGCCCACATGGTGGCCTGGACATGTAAAAACACGTGGTTCCAGCTCCGGGCAACCATGTTAGATACACCCCTGGGTGGCCTGGACACGTTAAAACACATGGTCCTTGCTCGGGACAAACATGTTAGATACCACCCTGGGTGTCCTGGAAACGTAAATTCATGGGTGCCAGCTCGGGACACCCATGTTAGATACACCCCTGGGTGGCCTGGACATGTTGATACACATGGTCCTTGCTCGGGACAGCCATGTTTGATGCCCCCCTGGGTGGCCAAGACATGCAACAACACATGGTGCCAGCTCGGGACAACCATGTTAGATGCACCCCTGAGTGGCCTGGACACGTGAAAACACGTGGTCCTTGCTCGGTACAATCATATTAGATACCCAACTGGGTGGCCAGGACACGTAAAAACACGTTGTTCCAGCTCGGGGCAACCATATTAGCTACCCCCCTGGGTGACCTGGACACGTAAAAACACGTGGTGCCGTCTCGGGACAACCATGTTAGATATCCCCCCGGGTGGCCTGGACATGTGAAAACACGTTGTTCCAGCTCGGAACAACCATGGTAGATACCCCAATGCGTGGCCTGGATACGCTGAACCCGCGCTCCCGCTCGAGATATCCTCGCAATGTCTCCCCTGGAGAGGTCCCCAAAGCGCCACCCCCTGTACAGAGCAAGAAAGCATGATTTTTCTGTATTGGGATATGTGCTTAGTGAGCGCTTTTCGGCTTCCCGTGCGTTTCCTGATAATTCGGCGTTGGGCCCGACGCCATGTTGGATATCCCCCCTGGGCGGCCTGGACACGTAAAAAACGTGGCGCCAGTTCGGGACAATCATGTTAGATACCCCGCTGGGTGGCCTGGACACATCAAGACACGATGTTCCAGCACAGGACCACCATGTTAGATATCCCCCTGGGTGGCCTGGACACTTGAAAACACGCGGTTCTAGCGCAGGGCCACTATGCTAGATACCCCCCCCTGGGTGGCCTGAACATGTTCATTACGTGGTTGCAGCTCGGGGCCACCATACCACCCTGGGCGGGCTGGCAACGTGAAAACACTTGATTCCAGCTCGGGACCACCATGTTGAATACCCCCCTGATGGCCTGCACACGTAGAAACTCACGGTTCCAGCCCACCCGTCGTCTCGCCAGCGAAGGACAACCATGTTGGATACCCCATTTCCCCTGAGACATCCTCTGAATTCTGGCCCCCCACGAGGCCCCCGCTCGAGATATCCCCCAAATCTGCAAAACCAGCGTTTCGCTAGAGACATCTGGGGCGCCAGCGACGGACAACCGTGTTGGATCCCCCCTGGCCGACCTGGGCACGTGAAAACAAGCATTTCGCCTGAGACATCCTCTGAATTCTGGTTCCCCACGAGACACCCGCTCGAGACATCGCCCAACTCTGCAAAACCAGCATTTGGCAAGAGACATCCTCAACAAATTATGAACAATAAGCGTTTCGCTGGGGACATCCTCAAACAAAAATTCCACCGGCCCTCTTCCCGCCTCGTTATTTATCGCCGGATAATTCCGCCGGCCTCCTTCAAATCGAGGCGGGGGGGGACACCAACTAAAAGAGAACCCTGGGCCGGAGCCCTTTCCAGTAACTTGAGATTCGCGCCACCGAGGTTACTATCCCATGCCAATAAAATAACACAATGCTCGTGTCCTCGCGGCCACAAGCCCTCGTACATCATACATTGTTGCTCCTCGAGGCAACCGACACTAGTAAAGTACGCAACATTCGCGTCCCCGAAGCCAAGAATGCTTCAAGGCGCCCGAAGATGGTTCCAAGACGGCCCAAGAGGGCCCACAGGGGCCCCAAGAGCGCTCCAAGGGGCCTCCCGAGAGAGCCCCAAGAGGCCAAAACCGTAGATTTGACAAAACAATTGAACGATTTTTTCCTTCTCTCATTTTCTGTTTTCCGACGCTCCAAGGCGGCTCAAGAAGCTCCCAAGACCGCCCCAAGGCAGCCCAAGACGCCTCCGAGAGGGCAAGACTGCCCAAGAGGGCTCCAAGATGGCCCAAGAAGCGCTCCAGACGGCCCAAGAGGGCTCGGGACCACCATGTTAGATCCCGACCTGGGTGCCCTGGACACGTGAAGCGATGTGGTTCCAGCTCGGGCAGAATATGTTAGATACCCCCCTGTGTGGTCAAGGAAATCGTGGAACAACAATCGAATTAGTCGAGACATCCTCGAAATTCCTGCGCGCGGGACGCGGCACGCGCGAGAAATCCTTGGGAATTCCTGCGCGAGGAACGCTTTTCCGCGTCGCGGTCGGGGCTCCAGACCTCGTTTATTTTTGTTTGAAGATTCTGCTCAAAATGCCCCGCACCCTCTTTTTTACTAAGGAAAACGGTGGTCTGCGGACCCCGTGATTTATCGGGGATCCGAGATTGGGGGCAAGCTTTCCTCGAGCGGGCACGGGAAAAACGGACTTGTTCAAATGACAATTCACACTTTACATCGAAATTTATCGCAAAACAATTCCGCCAGCCCTACAGCCGTCGGGGCCGGGAGGTTAACCCCTAACATGATCGACCCACGAACCCGGAAAGGAATATAGAAATGTAACGCGTGGCGACGCTTTCAAAGACACCTGATTGGGCGACGGACAAACGCAATGCTGAATGTATCGATCTTGATGTACCGTACCGAGGGCTGTGCTGTGCTGCGCCGTTCTGAACTGCGATGTGCCATGCCGCGATTGTGCTCTATATAGCGTTGTGGATCGAGTTCTCCCTGGCATCCGAGTCCTGACCGAACTGATCTGGATCTCAAGCTCGAGCTGCCTGAGCAGATGGTAGCTGCCCCAAAACTAGTCGACAGGGGAGACA